CATTTTTAAAAATATATATTTTATTGATTTTTTTACAGAGAGGAAGAGAAAATGATAGAGAGTTAGAAACGTCGATGAGAGAGAATCATCGATCAGCTGCCTCTTGCACACCCCCTAGTGGGAATGTGCCCACAATCAAGATAATGCCCTTGACCAGAATTGAACCTGGGACCTTTCAGTCCACAGGCCGAGGCTCTATCCACTGAGCCAAACTGGTTTTGGCTTGACTCCCTTTTTATTCTATACCCCTGTGTTCCTTCTTTGCTTTCTCTCCCTTTATTTTTACAGCAGACCCTTCAGCATTTCTTGCATTGCTGTTTTTTTTTTGTTTTGTTTTGTTTTTCTCTATCTCAGGAAAGTTTTCTGTCATTATTTCTTGAAATACTTTTTCCATGTCTTCCTCAGTTTCCTTTCCTTCTGGAACCCCTATTATTTTAATATTGTTTTGTTTTGTATTGTCCCAAAGCTCCCGTAGGCTCTCCTCCTGCTTTTTAATTTTTTTTTTTAGAAGCTGCTCTAATTGGGTATTTTTTTCCATCTTGTCTTCTAGCTCGTTGATGTGGTCCTCTGCTTCTTCTAGTATACTCTTGATGCCTTCTATTGAGTTCTTCATAGTAGAAATGTCATTTTTCATTTCTTCTTAGTTCATCTTCATTTCCTCTTGGTTCTTCTTCAATTCCTCTTGGTTCTTCTTCATTTCCTCTTGGTTCTTATTCATATCATCAAATTTCTCTTCCATTCTTTTTAGCCAACTTATGATCATTACTCTAAATTCTTGCTCTGGGAGGTTGCTTGCCTTTAAATCGTTTACTTCCTGCCTAAGCCGGTTTGGCTCAGTGGTAGAGCGTCGGTCTGCGGACTGAAAGGTCCCAGGTTCGATTCCGGTCAAGGGCATGTACATTGGTTGCGGGCATATCCCCAGTGGGGGGTGTGCAAGAGGCAGCTGGTCGATGTTTCTCTCTCATCGACGTTTCTGACTCTCTATCTCTCTCTCTTCCTCTCTGTAAAAAATCAATAAAATATATTTAAAAATAAAAAATAAAATAAATAAATAAATCGTTTACTTCCTTTTCTGGTGATGCCTGCTTTTCTTAGTGTGCAGGCTATTTGTCTCCCCAGGGTCTCTCTTTTTAGGATGTCTGGTTATGTAGTTCTTTTCTCCTGTATTGATTTAAAGGCACAAAATACAACACTACCAGGTACAACAAAAGGCACTGAATATTTGTGATATTAATAACCTCTAATAAAGGTGACCACTAGAGAAAGGCAAATTAGGGGATAGGAGAGAAAGAAGAAAAGTTAAAAAAAAGAAAAAAAAGAAAAAAGAAAAGAGGGATAAATAGAGAAAAAGAAAAAAAATAGTGTAGAAATGAAATTGGGAAAAAGGAAAGAGAGAGAGAGAGAGAAGGGGGGGGGGAGAGGGAGACAGACAAGAAGTAGACTAAGAGATAAAGGAGGAACAAACTATATATATATGAGGAAAAAATTCCAATAGAACAACCACTAATCCCAGCAAATACCAGCAACAATACTTGGAGATTAATACAAACTACAATACCCACTATTATCAAGCAAGGCTAGGATAAACAGAAGTAAAAAAACAAACAAAAACAAAGCAATTAAAAAATACTAAGTAACAATAACAACAAAAGAAAAAGCATATCAGTCACACTAAAAAGCATAAAATTCAATATAATCAACATTCATGTAAACAATAACAAAAGGATAGAGAGAAAAACAGTTTTTTGGTTTTTTTTAATAGTTAATATAGCGAAGAGAGTGGTATTTATGCACTTGGAGCAGGGGGTTGAAAATTAGGTTTATAAGTATGGTGAGAATTTTAGCAGGGAGTATACAGAAAGCATAGGGGAAAACTAAAGCAGGAAAGGGTTAAGATAAACAGACGAAAAGGGTAAAGGTTAGTAAGAGAGTGATGGTGTAAAGGTTGAGTTGAGATAGAGTTTAATAATGCTATAGTAAAGATGAAAATAGAATGAAGAGTAATCCCAATGTAAAATAAAGAGAAAATAAAATGGTACTTTAAAAAAGAAAAAGGAAACAAAAATGCAAAATAGCAGTAGTAATAATGGTGATTGAAACTAAAAAATGTAATAATTGAAAAGGTAAAATCAAGTGAGGAAAAAAATTCATTTCTTAGGTGAAAGATGTAAAAATTGAAAATAAAGTAAAAGATGTAAAAAATGAAAATAAAATAAAAAATAGAAAAATTAGCATAAAAATGTGCAGTAGTGGTCATTCACTTCCTCTATTATTCTATTTGCCACGCCTTTTCTCGGTCTAGACAGTATTGCAGTTCCCTGCATTCCACTGCACCTCAGTTTTGTAAGCTAGTCCTTAATTTTTTTAAAAATATTTTTTTAATTGATTTTTCACAGAGAGGAATGGAGAGGGATAGAGAGCTAGAAACATCGAGGAGAGAGAATCATCGATCAGCTGCCTCCTGCACAACCTGTTCAGGGGATGTGCCCGCAATGAATGTACATGCCCCTGACCGGAATCGAACCCGGGACCCTTCAGTCCACAGGCCGATGCTCTATCCACTGAGCCAAACCGGTTTCGGCTAGTCCTTAATTTTAAGTAGGCTATTTCTTAGTTATTTGTGTCCGTTTATTTTTGATTAATTAAAAGTAATAAAATAAAAAAAAATAAAAAAGAAAGGAAAAAAAGGGGGGGGGGAAGTCAGTTTGTAATTCAGCCCCTAGGTGGCAGTGTTTCTAGATTGACTTCCCCGTCTTTTTGGCTGCTCTAGCCTTCTTTCTCTATGGCTCTCTCTATGGTTTGTTGAGGTAGGCTGCCTGGGTGTTGGCTCCCAGATGGTCTCTTCTCACTCTGATCCCGTTTCCAGGAAGGCAGTTCCCCCTGCAGTCTCCCAGGATATGCCAAATGGGGCAGTCCTTCCCTACGACTCGGAAGCAAGTGGGCGAAGGGGACCAGGCGCAGGGTGGCCTGTGCCAAGGTGTCCAGATGTTCCGCTTTTGGCGGCACAGTCCCAATTCTTAACACTTTGTCCCGCATCCCTTGGCATTTTAAAAAAGTCCCGGTTTTTTAGACGATCCCGCCAAACCCAGCCCTGGGTCCTCTCTGCAGCCGCTGCCTCTTTCGTAGCTGCAGCGCCACACCAGCGCACCGGGACCCAGACTCCTCAGGCTATCCCCGCAGACTCTGACCTTTCCGCGGGTGATTGAAGAACTCCCTTGAATCCATGTGTTTGCGCCGGTTGGGGCGTCACAGCTGTTCAGTGGTCTCTGTTTGGGGTTTTTCAGGCCTCAGATAAAATCCTCTTTTCTTTGTAAGATGGCATAGTTTTCCCTCTGAGCCCGTAGCTCCGGGAGAGGTCTCCGCCACAGTCTCAACTTATTTTCTTTGAGGGACAGCAAATTGTGTGTTCTGGCCTCAGGGCCCTCACACTGGCTGTGCCCTCTTCTTGTCCTTCCCTGCCCTCTGGCGACATGGCCCTCTCTCCCCGATCCAGCTTAGTTCCTTCCTACGTCACAGCTCCCTGAATGACAGGCCTCGGAGCTGTCCTCAGCCACCTGTCCTCCCCACTCGAGCCATCAGCACCCGCATTGCTCACCTGGACTAGTGTGGCCACCATGGCTCTTCCCATAGCAGCCAGGGGAGGAACAGGAGACACGGTCCCCTCCTGTCCCTCCTCTGCCAAGGACCCTTGATGGCTCCCAACTCACGGTGGTTATGAGGCTCTGCTGGACTCCTTCCCCCATCACCCTTGCCCTCCCTTATCTCTTCCCCCACCCCCCTTGCTTGCCCACTCCTGCCTCAGGGCCTTTGCACTGGCTGCTCCCAGTCTGGGACTCTGCTCCCCAGACAGCTCACAGCTGCCCCTCTTTCTCCTGCCTCCTCTCTGCCCACCTGCCTGCTTCTCTGCTCTGTCTCCTCATGCGTCCACCAGCACAGGACTCTTGTCTGGCCTACTTACTGCTGTGTCCTTAGCACCTGAAACGGTGCCTGGGGCTCAGCAGTTGTTGAATGGGCATGGTGGTGGATGGATGGGGGCTGGGTCAGTAGATGGGCAGGCAGAAAGGAGATGGATGGATGGATGATTGATGTGGTTGGATAGATGGATGGATGATGGATGGTGGATGGATGGATGGTGGATGGATGGATGGATGGATGGATGGATGGATATTGGTGGATGGATGGATATTGGTGGATGGATGGATGATTGGATGGATATGGTTGAATGATGGATGGATGGTGGATGGATTGATGTGGTTGGATGGATGGATGGATGGATATTGGTGGATGTTTGGATGATTGGATGGATATGGTTGGATGATGGATGGATGGTGGATGGTGGATGGATGGATGTGGTTGGATGGATGGATGGATGGAGGATGGATGGGTGGATGGGTGGATGGGTGGGTGGGTGGGTGGGTGGATACACAGAGAGGTGGGAATAGACTTTGGCTGGAGGAGCCCTGTTAAATGTTTCTCAGTGGGACTCGGGTGGTGAGCCCAGGCGTGGCAGGGCTGCGAGGGCACAAAGACCCATTTGTTCCTGTCTTATGTGCGGGCGTCACTTCCCTGTGAATGCTGGGGCCACACCTCCTGACGTTCCCCGGGCTGGCGAGTGGTCCTGCTGTGGGTCTCATCTGCTGTCCTGTCTCTCTGGGTTAGTGGGGACTTGGCAAGTCCTGCAGTGCACCCAGCGCTGGGCCTGGGCCTGGGCCTGGGCCTGCAGACCCTCTGGAGGGAGTGCAGATGGAGACACGGATGGCTGGGCTGGGGGCTTGGGGGTCCTGGGACGCCGAGACTGAAGAAAACAATGATGACTCATGGTGGCCTAGAGAGTTCTGGGTGCTGTTTGTCCTGAGCCTTTCACAGAGATGGCGCTCAGTCTCCAAACAGCCCGTGAGGGGTGTTCCATTATGGCCCCATTCCGTGGATGCGGAAGCTGGGGCACGGAGAGGCCGCGGAGGCTCCAGCGGCCCTGCTCACATGTCTACCCTCCCCTGCAGGATGCCATGATCGGGCCGTCCTGCTCTACGAGTACGTGGGCAAGCGGATTGTGGACCTGCAGCACACCGAGGTCCCCGATGCCTACCGTGGGCGTGGCATCGCCAAGCACCTCGCCAAGGTAGGGGTAGGCGGAGGACACCAGGCCCTGCCAGCCTCAGCTGTCTCCGGCCAGAGTGCAGCTGGCTCCTACCTGCTGCCAGCCTGTAGCTGGGGCTGGCGGGGGGGATACGGAGGGCAGGGGGAGGGGTGACTTGGAGGGGGGTGGCTGTGGGGTGGGGGGGCGGCTGTGGGGACTCTGGGGCAGGGGGCGCTATGGGGTAGCTGGGGGCGCTGTGGGTGGCAGCAGGGAGTTTGGGGGGCTATGGGGTGGGGGCTGTGGGGCAGGGGTGGCTGGACAGCGGGGGCGGGGCTGTGGGGTGGTGAGAGGGTACGGGGGCAGGGGGCGCTGTGGGGGCAAGGGGTGTGGGAGGTGTGGGGCTGTGTGGCGGGAAGTGGCTGTGGGGCGGGAGGCAGCTGGGGGCACGGGTGCTGAGGGGGTGTGCGTGGCGGGGCGTGTGGTCGGTGGGGGGATGGGGGTGGGGTGGTTTGTGAAGATGAAACGGAAGGGCCAGAGCCCGGACCAGGACACAGGCCGTATTGAAGAGAGGAGCACCGCTGCCGGCAGCTTCCGGAGCGCGGAGAGCCGGGCGGGCTTCGTGCCCCGAGGGGAGGGGAGGGGACGGGGCTTAGGCACTGGGCACACTGATCGGTGGTTTCAGGTGAGGCCTATGGTGAGGGCCGGGGCTTAGGGGATTTGGCAGGTGCTGATGGTGGCTCAGAGCTCAGGAATGTCTGGCTGCAGGTGGTTCATGTCCGGCCATCAGTAGGAGAAAGGGAGGATCTATCAGTTTGCGGGGTGGGGTGGCGGGGAGTGAGTGGCAGGCGTGTGAGCGCGGGGAGGCGGGTGGGGAGCAGCGTGTCTGCTGGTGCTCTGCTCCTGGGAGCAGGGCTGGGGGCTGTGGTCAGGGTCCAGGCTCAGCTGGGCGACCAGGCCCTGCCCCTGCTGAGCATCAGGAGCTCATGGCTGTGGCCCTGCGTCCAGTGTCCTAGGTGCTCGTCACTTCCCTGCCCCACCCCTTCTCCCGGGAGAGCAGCCTGGATTGCGGGGACTTGCGCCTGGACCAGAGAAGCCTCAGTGTCCCTGAGGGCTGCTCCCGGTCGCCCCCCCCCCACGTCCCCAGCTTCTGTGCCTCCCCCACCCTCCCTGTGACCAAGGAAGAAACCGAGAGCCCTGGCCATTGTGCTCAGTGGTTAGTGTCAGCCCACCCTCTCAGGGTCGTGGGTTCGATTTCCTGCCAAGGGCACGCACCTAGGTTGCAGGCTCCATCCCTGTCCCTGGTTGGGGTGCTTACGGGAGGCAACCAACTGCCATGTCTCTCTCCCTCCCTCCCTCCCTCCCACTCTCTCTAAGTCAATAGAAAAAATCCTTGGTGAGGAATAACAAAAAGAAGTAAAATGAACCGAGAGCTGCTGGCCTGGGTAATGGGGATGGAGCCCACGCTCCCCCCGCCCTGCCTGCCAGGCCTGAGGCCCAGGCCAGGGCGCCCTGTGCCCGTGCCTTCCTGGGCTCCGGCCTCTTCCTCCACAAAGTGGGCGTAGCCGGTCCGCCCTGGCTGTGTGGGCGCCTGGAGGACACCGCTCAGGCCCAGGGCGAGGCCAGGATGCTGCTTCCTTTGCATCTGAACAGCAAACATTTCCTTGTTTTTTTTTTGTTTGTTTGTTTGTTTTTTGTTTTTTTTAAATATATTTTATTGATTTTTATACAGAGAGAAAGGGAGAGAGATAGAGAGTTAGAAACATCGATGAGAGTCATCGATCAGCTGCCTCTTGCACACCCCCCACTGGGGATATGCCCGCAACCAAGGTACATGCCCTTGTCCGGAATCAAACCCGGGACCCTTCAGTCCCCAAGCCGACACTCTATCCATTAAGCCAAACCGTCCCGGCCAAACATTTCCTTGTTATGAACCTCACCTGAGGGTGTGTTTTCCACTGATTTTTAGAGAGAGTGGGGGAGGGGGTAAGCAGGCGCCAGTGCGCCCGAGGGCCCTGCAGGGGGAGGGCGGCCGTGGACTGGAGCCGGCCAGCCCCGCCCAGCAGGGGGAGGGCGGCGGTGGACGGGAGCCGGCCAGCCCCGCCAGGCGCCTGGCTGTGGGCTGCCTCCGTCCGGGCTCCTCTCCATGGCCCGGCCCCAGGCAGCCTCCGGGCCTGACCGCCCTCTCTGCCCTGCAGGCCGCCCTGGACTTCGTGGTGGAGGAGGACCTGAGGGCGCACCTCACGTGCTGGTACATCCAGAAGTACGTCAAGGAGAACCCGCTGCCGCAGTACCTGGAGCGCCTGCAGCCGTGACCCCGGCCGGGGGCGAGCCGGCTCCTCGCCTGCCTGCCTCCGTGCTCTCAGGACGCCCCGCGGGCATTCGGCTGTTTGTAAGGACGCTCACCGGGGCCGAGGCGCCGGCCGAGGACGGGCAGTGTCCGGAGGCCGGCAGCTCCTGCCTGCAGACCTGGCGGCCTCTCAGGAGACCCACGGCCCGTGGTCAGGACTGGGACACGGATCATCCCTGTGGCCGCTGGCCGTGCTCCTGCTCCTGGCACCCCTCACCACCCGCCCCCGGTGCTGTTTGCAGAGGGGTGTTCGCAGCGCGGAGAAGAGCAATAGGAAACTACCTGCCAGCTCCCAGGGCACAGGCGTGCGGCTGCTGACAGCACTGCCCTCCTCCGGCTGCCCGCCTGGCAGGGTGTGTGCGGGAGCCGCGGCCTGGCATTCGCTCGGGCTCAGCTGTGCACACAGCACGCCCAGCACGGACAGGCTGGGAGCACGGCTGTTCGTCTCCTGCGCCTGTGCCCTGACTCCTGGCCTCCTGTCTGTCGGCTCTGGGCTGCCCTGCCCTCTCCATCTGCCTTCACCAGGGCAGCTCCTGGGGCTCCGAACCCTCCCGGGACCCGCCCTCTGCCCGGGCCCTGGGTGAGCTTCCTAGAGGGACCTGGGAGCAGAGGTGGGAGGAGAGCTGCCCTCCAAGCTGTCCTCCGCCAGGAAAGGACTTTTCTGCAGAGGCTTTCCTTCCGGTCCCAGCCTCAGGGCGTCTTCCGAGTGAGCAAAGGCTGGGCATGGCCCCAGGAACCCTGGGATGGCGGAGGGCACCGCCTTCCGACTGCGCTCCCAACTCCGCAGTGTGTATCTGAGGGCAGGGAGCCCTGGTCCCCTGTGCCAGCAGGATCCTGGGCCAGCAGGGTGGCACAGCTCCTGGCCCTCCCGAGCTGGGGTGGCATCCTGGCACAGTTGAAGAAGGGGGTAGGCCTGGGAGTGGACAGACTGGTCCACCCAGGGTCTGGGCCTCTTCCCCTCTCTCCCTCCCCCTCACACAAGTTTACATATAGATTTCGTCATGGAAACTGTCCGGCGGCGCAGCGAGCCGGTGCGAGGCGGCCCCGGGCTGGGAGGAGGCCGGGCGAGCGGGGCCCTCCGTCTGGCAGGCCGGGGCAGGCTGGAGCATGTGCCCAGCCTGAGCCTTGTTCTGACAGCGGGGGGCGCATGCTGGGCCCGCAGGCAAGCCGCTCTTCAGCAGAACCAGGAGCTGCTCCAGGCGGGGAGTGGGTGGCCTTGGCCCAGGGACAGCTGTCCCGGCTCCAGCAGGTTTGGCCACCATGCCTCTGCCGCCTTACTGTGCGCTGGCGTGCAGGCCGGGGACCGCAGCCCTGGCCTGGAGCCCTCGGCTGGTCGCTTCTGGTGCTGCCCCCTGTCCGACATCCAGCCCCCTCCCTGTCTCCCCTCCTCCCGGCCTCCTGGCCGGCGCCCTCGCTGTGGCCGGGCAGCACCAGCCCCTCCCGGCAGGTCGCTCACCGCGGTTCCCTCACATCGTAACTCACGTGCCTTCCCTCTCAGGACCGGCTCTGGTGACCTCTGGCCAAGGCCCTGCCCTGGCCGTTTCCCAGGCTCCCGGCCAGGGCAGGGCCTGCTGCCCGCGGGAGCCGTGTGTCCTCCGGCCGGCGCTCTGACCTCACTGCAGCCCGGTGCCCGCGGGAAAGGACAGCACATGGGCACAGGGTGGCGGTTTCAGCCAGAGAGCGGGGCTCCAGGGTCCGGGGGCACCTTGGCTCCTGTGCCTTCTCCCCCTTCACCGCCAGCCAGGGCCCTGCCCTGCCCCTGCCTCACCCAGGGGAAGGCCGTCGGAGGCCTGGGTGCCCTCACTGGAGGAGGCCGTGATGTCCTAGGCCTCACTCAGCGTCCTCTCCCCCTGAAAAGCCTTCTGTTGGGGCTGCTAGTCCAGGGGAGCGAGGTGGGGAGTTCATGCAGGCCCGTGGGGTAACGTCACGGGGGCCTGGCCAGTGTGGCTCGCCTGAGCACCGTGCATGCACGGAAGGTCACCAGTTCACGTCCCAGTCAGGGCTGTACCCGGAAGGCAGGTTTGGTCCCCATTTGGGGTGTGCAGGGAGGGGAACTCCTTTCTGAATGGGATGTTTTCCTCCCAGTTCCCACCCTGGGGTCCCAGTGCTGCCCCCAGACAGGAGGAGAAGGCATTGCAAGGGCAGGCCTTCCTGCCGCGCCCCTGCCCTCTGCCCAGGGCCTCCGTCCACGTGGCAGGGCGTGCTGGGGCCCACTGCCCGCTGTGCCTGGAGCGCAGGCCTCACTGGCGGGATGGGCTGGTGCGTGCGTGAGGGCCGCTGTGCGGGGAGATGCTGGAGTGTCCACCACCCCCTCGCTGGTCCTCAGCACAGAAGCCTCCGATGGGCTGTCTACCCAGGTGTCCCCTCTGCTGTTCTCAGGGCCCCACTTCCTCCCACGGCACCCTGTTTTCTACAGGGGCGGGCTGGGTGTGCGCTGTCGTTCTGATGCTGCAGGACATTAAACACTTGTCTGGCTTTCAGAGATGCGCGTGGTCCTGCCCTCCCGCCGTGAGTTCTTCCGCTGACTCCGGGTGGTCCCAGCAGCCCCCGCCCCCGCTTTGTGGGTTCACTGTCCCACCGCAGTGACCAGGCTGCCTGCGACTCCAGCTCCGCCTTCGAGCGCCTCCCTCGGGACAGGCCTGGGGCCGAGTGCTCCGACCTCCGGGCTCCGCGGCCGCACTGACCGGGTGTCCGGGGAGAGCGTGTCTCCAGGCCGCTCTTGCCTCCGAGGCCGGCTGGGCAGCGTGGGGTGGGAACCGCGGCGGCTAGTGTGGGCCAGGGGACGAGGGTGGGGTGCCCAGTGCCAGCAAACAGGGAGCTGGGGGGCAGGAGCACGGCCACAGCCAGTCCCTGGGCCGCTGCGGGCCCCCCCGAACCGGGGGCGGCCTCGGTCCGTTCCCTGTGGACAGCACCCACCGCCCCGCGCCCGGCCGGCGAGCCCGCGCCGTGGACCGCGCTGGCCGGGCGGCGGACCGCCCCGCGCCTTCTCCCGGTGCTGGTGGGAGCCGGGCTTCGCCGGAGAAACCACCTGCCGACGACAAACTCCTTTCGGTTTGTTGGTGACGAGCTGAACATCCTCCATGCGGGTCTGCTGTCACACCGGGGGGTGGACTGACACCTTGAACCTGGCGCTTCCGTGGTTTAAACCTGACTGCATAGGCCTGGCTCAGGGATAGGCCGCAGGGAGCAGAGCACGATGCTCAGGGAGGGAAGTGGGAGGCTCAGTCTTGCAGAGGCAAACGTTTGTGAAGTCAGCACCTGCAGTGCCGTGGGCAGGCCGGGCTCGGGGCCTGGAGCCGGGGGGAGGGGGGAGCCAGAGACCTCCTGCCAGTGCAGGCACGACACTGCGGGAAGCAGAAAGGAACGAAGTGTGTGAGGCTTGTAGTGTTGGAAAAGGTAACAGCTACAGGACCCCAAGAAGCAGGAAATGAAACTGAAAAAAGACTTTAACCAACGAAGACACATGAAAACGTCCTCAGTTTTACAGACCAAAGCCTCGGCCCAGGGCAGTCAGAATCTGTGGACTTGGTCCACTTGCTAACCGAGACACTGGAGGTGTCGGTAAACAGAAATGGTTGAGGAGACAGGGAGGCAAAGAAACAGCCCCGGGGGGGGGGGGGGGGGGGGGTCGAAGAGCACTGGGCAGGCAGGCAGAAGGCGGCCGGAGGCAGAGGGAGCTCCTCGCCCACCTCCGAGCACAGGACTGGCAGCTGCCTCAGCCTGGCCAGACAAGACGACCAGGCGCAGGTGCAGACATCCCAAGGTCAGAGGTCAGCCGCAGCAGCGCAGAGGGGACTGACCCCGCCAGGACAAAGGGCACAGAGCCCCTGGACCCCGGCGGGCGCTCCGAATCGCTGCGCTGCCTGCTGCTGTGCTTGACACCCAGTGCATTCTCAGTCCAGGCTTGCTGTGCTTCCTCCACATTCGCTTGTTTTGCTTCAACACTGCTTCCTCAGGAGACTAACAAGCCTTGGAGAGGAGAGCAGAGCAGAGAGCAGAAGGGAGGAGAGGAGAGGAGGGGAGGGGAGGGGAGAGGAGAGGACAGGAGAGGAGGGGAGAGAAGAGCAGAGGAGAGGAGAGCTGCCCTCCCCCACCTCTGACGCGGTGGCTCTCCTGTAACATTGTCCAGGCCATGACTCGATCAGCAACTGGGCTCCGGCTCTGGTCACTGCCCAGCTCTCTCAGATTCCTGGCGGTGGACTGCAGTGAGGTGGGGTCTTCTGGGGGTTTCTTCTCTTTTGCTCTCGGTTTGGGGGAGTTGGGGAGTTGGGGGAGTTGGGGGTTTGGGGGAGTTGGGGGAGTTGGGGGTTTGGGGGAGTTGGGGGTTTGGGGGAGTTGGGGGAGTTGGGGGTTTGGGGGAGTTGGGGGAGTTGGGGGTTTGGGGGAGTTGGGGGTTTGGGGGAGTTGGGGTTTGGAGGAGTTGGGGGAGTTGGGGGTTTGGGGGAGTTGGGGGTTTGGGGGAGTTGGGGAGTTGGGGGTTTGGGGGAGTTGGGGGTTTGGGGGAGTTGGGGGTGTTGGGGGAGTTGGGGGAGTTGGGGGAGTTGGGGGTTTGGGGGAGTTGGGGGTTTGGAGGAGTTGGGGGAGTTGGGGGTTTGGGGGAGTTGGGGGTTTGGGGGAGTTGGGGGAGTTGGGGAGTTGGGGGTTTGGGGGGGTTGGGGGGGTTGGGGGAGTTGGGGGAGTTGGGGGTTTGGGGGAGTTGGGGGTTTGGGGAGTTGGGGGTTGGGGGAGTTGGGGTTTGGGGGAGTTGGGGAGTTGGGGGTTTGGGGGGTTGGGGGAGTTGGGGAGTGGGGGTTTGGGGGAGTGGGGGTTTGGGGGAGTTGGGGGAGTTGGGGGCTTGGGGGAGTTGGGGGAGTTGGGGGTTTGGGGGAGTTGGGGGTTTGGGGGAGTTGGGGGTTTGGGGGAGTTGGGGGTTGGGGGAGTTGGGGGAGTTGGGGGTTTGGGGGAGTTGGGGTGTGGGGGAGTTGGGGGTGTGGGGGGGTTGGG